AAAACTTCACCTCCTCAAAACGATTCTCGCGAAATGCCTGGTTTCCACTGAGCACAAGATTGACAACATGACTATATCTATCCCATGGAAATGATCTCTCTCCTTCATTATCCTGTACAACAATCAATATTACTTACTTCAGATTCCTAACCACAGTTTGAGAAAATGAATACTGCGCAAAATTCTCTACAAACTGCAACAGGTGTGACAGCAAGTAGAAATGAAAACTAAGCCATATACACAGCTCGAGACCACCACTATTTTTTTCTCAAATATTTGACAAAACATAAATTCTCATAAGTAACTACAGTTTTTTCCATGCTGGCACAAATTCCAACTATTCAGCAGTATAAATATTGTATTTCCATTCTGATAAAATCAAATAACTTCACCGTTTCAATTAACATCAGCCAACTGAGAACTTAAAGAAATGCCGGTAACAATAAACTTACATTATACTTTATCAACTAAATTTGGCATGTAACAGAAATAAAACATTTTCAAACTTCTTTGAAATTCTCAGCGACTAAACATAGCATAAAGAGAAAAATAGAAGTTCCAAAATAAAGGTTGGACTTCTTGTCTGTTCCCACGTTCCTCAGAGCTATCAAACAACACAGAAAATCACAAAACGAGCAAACAAACTTAAATAGACAATATAAGGAAGGTCGGTTTAGTCTCCAAGAAAATTCATGGAAACGGTCGAAAAATGAGAGAGTTTCGAAATTTCGACTTTAGAAGTTTGATTTCGGAAAAACAAAAATTAAAAAAAAAAAGTGAAAAGTTCACCTAAACTCGGTCACGCCTCATAAGTAACTACAGTTTTTTCCATGCTGGCACAAATTCCAACTATTCAGCAGTATAAATATTGTATTTCCATTCTGATAAAATCAAATAACTTCACCGTTTCAATTAACATCAGCCAACTGAGAACTTAAAGAAATGCCGGTAACAATAAACTTACATTATACTTTATCAACTAAATTTGGCATGTAACAGAAATAAAACATTTTCAAACTTCTTTGAAATTCTCAGCGACTAAACATAGCATAAAGAGAAAAATAGAAGTTCCAAAATAAAGGTTGGACTTCTTGTCTGTTCCCACGTTCCTCAGAGCTATCAAACAACACAGAAAATCACAAAACGAGCAAACAAACTTAAATAGACAATATAAGGAAGGTCGGTTTAGTCTCCAAGAAAATTCATGGAAACGGTCGAAAAATGAGAGAGTTTCGAAATTTCGACTTTAGAAGTTTGATTTCGGAAAAACAAAAATTAAAAAAAAAAAGTGAAAAGTTCACCTAAACTCGGTCACGCGGACAGTTTTCCTAGTCTAAATTGAGTAAATATTCATGTTTCATCATCTCCATTTAACCAACGAATCTAACATTGAAAACTCTGGACTCAATAATCTACATTCTTCATCAAAGAAACGAAGTTAATTACTAAGCAGAAAGTAAAAATTCATTTCATACGAAAACAAAACAAAAGAACGAACACGAAACGAACTTACGGAGAAAACTCACCAAAATGTAATCCTCTACATCGTCAAGCCCCTGCAGAATGAACCCCGAAGATGAGGTTTCGCTTGACATTGATAATCAAAGTGGCACTTCAACAGATACAGCTGGCGCGGAGAATCGATCAAGAATTCAAGTCGATTAATCGAAATCGAAAGAGAGAATTTGAAGAGACAACAGTGCGCATCGTGTTCTTCTCTTTGTCCTTGGTTGCATACACGGACCAAATTCCACTACGTGGTTCTCTTTCTCACGCTTAACTCTCTCTCTTTCTCTCTCTACATCTCTCTATCTATCTATCTATCTATCTATCTATCTATCTACTCGGGTTCTCTCTCTCAAAAACACTTCCGGGCTGGGGCAGATTTTAGGGACCAGAGGCTGTTTGGCTATAAACATGACGTTCATTTCTCCTGTTACACCTTTTTCTTTTTTTCCTTTTACAGTGGCGGGAGAGGAGATTCTATGATTCAGTGTTTCCTTGCGTATTATTATGATTGTACAGTGGATGATCACAGGCGTAAAAGTAAGTAAGGAGCTTAATATAGTACACGTGGAGCCATCTCGAAGCAGTTTCAACTACTTTGACCTTGACTTTTTCGACTTTTGATTTTACGGGTTATGATGAGATTAATTGTTCCAAGTTCGAGAGAAGGAAACCGGAGGAAAGTGGAAACGCTTTCCTCATTTGCGCGTGGGATATTTTATGGAAAAATAAATAAATAAATAAATAAATAATTTTATATATTTATTTTCATTTTGTTATAAATAAAACTTTTTAGGAAACTAAAATGCGAGAATAGGAAAGCCGTCTGGAAAGGAAATAGGAATCTGGGTGGTGGTGTCGTCTAACCGTCGAGGCCGGAGGAGCAACCACTCTCTTACAAACACCCTCCGACAAACTCCATTTCTTTTACCATCTCTTTCGTGTGGGTAATTATTTTTTTATGCTTATTGAATTTTGGTATTTTTAAAAAATAAATATGCATGAGATGAAAATTATATGAATAATAATAATAAAAAGGGGGAAATTGCACCACGTTGAATTGTTAGTATCCACATGGTTATTTAGAGGTCAAGATTTATCTCCATTCAAAAAAACATATGTAACTTTGTTGATAAGGACTTAGGGCTCCAATGCATACATGACATGTTCCTTATTTGTCATGTAATTATTATGGTTCATAATTTTACATAATGTATCTTCTTCATATATATATATCTATATATATATTTTTTCATATTGACTAGTCTTTTTATATGGTGTAACGTGTAATAATTAGTTATCAAATATAATTTATTTAAATTATAATATTTGATTCAATAAAAACATAAAATTTACTTAATTAATTTATTAATGGGTCCCCAATTGATTAAGTCAAAATAAATTTTTGAGAGCCTATTACATTATTTTTTGATATTTAAAAAAATATGCAATAATTGGTTAAAATGGCAATCAATTTAGTTTTATATTTTAATATTAATTAATTTACATGATAAATATATATTTTTAATGTGATTTCTGTTAATCTGTAAATAACTCAGGAATTTTTAATACCCATGGTAGTTTGTCAATTTCAATAATAATAACATTTATGAGTTGTGTCACCAAAATTATTCCCTGCACTATACTTGGAGATTGAGTTCATATCAAAATTTAATTACATGTAATATTACAATTAAAGTAAAAAATTTACATGAAATTAATAGTATAATTTCAACAACTTCAATAAAATTAAGTTTTTAATTATATAAAATATGAATAAGAATATTATGATTTTAAATTAATTTCATATCAAATTCAAATTATGTATTTAAGCAATCTCATCATTAATAATCAAGAATAAATAAGTAAAATAAGTTTAAAGTAATTATAACATATAAATAGAACATTAAATGCACTAAATCAATATATATATATATACATATATAAAGTAGAATCTTAAAATCGATAATAAATAAACTTATAGAAATATTAAATCAAACATACATTTTATCCTTAATATATAGTTGGGATCAAATAATTTTTTAAAACTTCTTACTATTCCAATGAACATTAACAGATTGGAATTAAGGCTGGGGAAGTAAAAGTCAAAATTACTTAATTCTATCGGCTCTATTCTCATTATCATTTTCATCCACAGCAGCCCTATTATTAAAGAAGATAATTACGGAATTGATTAAGAAAATTAGTTAACTGATTAATTAATTAATTAATAGCCGTACAGAATCTACTCTACGTGTGATTGAAGGGTCAAAATAGCACATTCGTTTTTCTTGTTTTCGTTGTATCATTTTGAGTAACATTTTATGCGTGAGGAGCATCTAGCGACCACAACTTCTTTTATTTAAAAATAAAATCCATGTTTAAAGAATAATCAAATAATTAGTGAGTATAATTAAATATTAGTAAATATAATATAATGATTGTAGCATCCATTGAGTCAATTAATTTGCCGTAAAGAATCTTATACATAATACTTTGTTGATATGTTATATACATATATATATATATATATCTATATATTTGAGTTATCATGTTTGTCAATTTTTGATGGAGGGGCATCGAATTAGTAAACTATTGAGTTTTTTTTGTTTTAATTATAATAAGATAATTAAATTAAATAATTACGGATATCAGTGAATTATTTGAAAAAAATGTACTAATTTACTATGAAATATTTAATTAGTTTTTAATTGAATAATTAATAAATTATTTTTTTATAAAAAATTATAAATTTAAATTAAATTATATTTTAGTCTGTATTCTTATTTAAAGATTATTTATATTATATTATGAGTGATGTATGCGTATCATTTATTTAATAAATATATAATTTTTTTTAATTCAAATTTTAATGTTTTAAAAAATAATTAGTATTCATAAAAATTAAATAAATATTTGAATATTAGTACTCTGCTTTAATATTAGTTAAATGTTCAATTCAATAAATTGGTTTGTATGATACAGGATAGAGATTTAATTTTTTTTATTAATTAAGATAAATTATAAGGATGCTTTTCTAATTTATTAAAATATAAACTTTTGACCACCTAATTAGGTCATATTAGAATGGCCTTATTTTGCATATGGGCTGGGCCCATGGTTCTGACATATTAGGCCCACACCCACTTGTAGTAATTCAATAATACACTATTCAATCATGTGCTTTCCTTTTATTTATTTATTTATTTTTTCTGAAAAGTCATTTGTTTTTTTTCATCAATAATGTGGACATATATATATATATTTAATTTAAATAAATTTCAAGATAATTTAGTTACCTCATAATTTCTTTTCACTTTTAATTTTCATAATAATAATATATAATTTATAGAATTCTCACATTCTCATTAATTTGATAAATAAAATAAACAGATAAATATTTAAAAAATTAATTTTTTAAATCTTATTCATTATGCAGATATTTCATAAAAAGAAAATAAAAATTACAAGTATGATAATATAATATAATAATAATAATAATAATAATGGTTATTGGGTTGGATGCTAAATGTTAATAACAAATAGTCCAAAGTGGCAACATTTTTATTCATATGACAGAAAGGCCCAACCCTCACAAGAAGACATAACTTGATTGTACTTCACCTTTCCATACATCTTTTCAAATTTCAATAATATTCTCCAACTTCAATTTTTAATTCCTTTATTATTATTTTTTTTATAATACAGTTTCTTATTTTAAGCTCAAATATAACATGCATGTATATATATATATATATATATTTGAAAAAGAAAATTATTTTTTTAATTATATTTATAAATGGTAAGCTTCATTTGCAAAATGCATGAAAAAAAAAAATAAATTTAATTTGTATTTTCTGAATAAATAAATCTAGCTCTATAAAAGATAAAGTTGTTTGTAAATTATATTATTGTACTCAGAATGTAAATTTATATTGAGCTTCTCAAATATACATACACTCATAGATTTTGTTATAATTATAATGTTATTCTTTTAGTTGATTAAAATTAAAGTTCTCCCACCATCTACTCATATAGCACTAAAAATAAGATTTAAAATAGATTATACTAAAATACTTTATAATTTATTGCACTATTTTACTATATTCTAATAAGCTCTCATAAGCTATAAATAAATCCTTCACCTTAAGTAAAAAGCCTAACTCCATTAGCTAACCTATCACATCATTTTAATCAAAATAAATTTGTTACTTATGCAGCACATTTAGATGCCACATCGATAATGTTTACACACTTATATAAAAGTTCTTCATATTTATAACTCATTTCATTCATCACTGATTCGTTACTAAAAAAAGCTAAAAATAGAAAGGGATCTGATAAGTTTGAATCAACCTTTGACAACTCGTTATGATTTTTTTGTTAAAAAAATTGAATTAAATTGGCTTAAGTTTTAAATGGTTTTTTAAAACTAATTAAATATATATTATATTTTTTAGTTTAGTGTATATAATCTTTTAAAAATTAATATAATATATTTTAATTATATTATATTTATATATAATTTGAATAAAGTCGATCAGATTTTGCTAGAAACTAGGTCAAACAAAAAATAAAATAAATTTAGTAAACTCGCTTCAAACTCAACCAATCACTATCCATATTCATCTGCATCAACTTTGCAAAGCCAATATCAACTTGTTAAACAACAATTTCTTTAAAGCATATACTAAGCTTCGTCAAAACCTCTTTACAGAGCTTTTAACTAATATATCATATTGACTTCATACACTTATCTATTACTTGTATTGGAATTCTTTTTCAAATCAAGATTGAAAGGTTGGGTGTTGACTTTTAAAACTAGTTCTTCTACAATTGCAACTGAGTTACAAAATCATATTTTGTAACATGACTATTAATCTATTGGATTTTGTATTGCATGATTGTTTATTAACCTAAGTAGACTAAATTATTAGCATATCTTATGAATAGTTATCTACTTATTCATCGTAAAATACAATATTATCAATATCCAAAATATTTAATTATTGCATAATAGAAATTTTCCTAAAAAAAGTTGTAAAAGCCCAAATTTGTAACGACCCCGAAAATCCAAAAGAAATAGATAATAACTTAAGTGCGGAATTGAAATAAAATAGTTAAGTTTTACATTCATTACACAATAACTTAAAAGTACTAAGCAACATTACGGAATTCACCATTTTGAAAGAAACACAAGAAATAAGGAAATAAACGGAAAAGAGAAAACATCTAGCATCTACTCACCATCTTCTTGCGGATCGGGCTCTGAAACCTGCTTCTCTTGATCTGAAATGGTTAAATATGAATGAGTTACACTAGTTCAGTAAGGATATCACACTATATCACCAACACAGAAATAAATATAGTTATAAAAACAAAAATAACTAATAGAGTAC